TAATTAACTTAATGCATTTATTTTGTTAATTATTGATAATGTGTGTGTTTAGCCATGGTACTTTTGACAACTAAAGCCGACTATAATGCCAAAAACTAGACAAAATCTAGGTAAAACCTTTTATAGCATTAAACCACGGTTAAAATTCAACCATAATTATGTGAATATTTCTAAAGTATTGCAATAAGCGGTTACATAATTTATATTATTGGTTAATTAGCCCATGATAAGTAACCGATAAATTTAAAAAATGGTGGTAAGTTTAATCATATGAACTGTAAATTAAACTTCAATATTGTAAATATATAACTTTAAATATTTAACATATTATATTTATGGTCCTAAATCAGTTCCCTTTAATTAATATATATTATTATTATTTTATTTATTTATAGATCCTATAAAAATAAATGTTGCTAAATATTTGTTAAAATTTTGCACAATTAGATAACGTTATTATTTATACAATAGTATATTCAATTTATTTAATTAAACATTCATTTTGATAAAAGTTTTAACTAAAAATGATTTTATATTAATAATTTTTTTAACCCAACACTTACTATTATACTTACGATAATATATGTAATAATTTAATCAAAATGTAACATTATTATTAAATTGCTTTTTTGCATAGTTTAATAATAAAAATATTTTATGTCAATGTTAATGTGATGGACTGTAAACACTACATTAATATTGTATATATGTAGTTTATGAATTTTAATTTTGAAATTATTGGTATCCAAGGGTTGAGTACTTTTATTATAATTTTTGGTTTTTCTTATTTAATCAAATATTAATCCTCATATAAATAAAAAATTAATATTTATTTTATTATTAACCATCTTTTGATTTATTTATATATGACATTAAATTAAATTAATAGAATTAATCATATTTATAAATATAAATTCATTAAAAACAACAAATGTTATTAAAATACACATGTACAGTATGTTATAATTTAGTGCACACTGTAGCATTATTATTATTAGATATATTTCTAGCTCGCTTAATAATCAATAACATGACGATAAATAAAATAATAGTAACGGCGAGATAACCAAACTCGAGGTCCAACAGTACGTGCGGGTGATCTTCAATGAGGGGTCCGATCAGAAAGGGTGACATTAATGGGAAACACTGCGAAGCGATCGACACTATCGACGAGATTTTATTAGTGAACGTCAAATGTTTGTCCGTAAATGAATAGTACAACGGATACATCGCTGAGAACCCGTAACCTTTTAAATATCATAATGGTAAAATAGTTTAATTATAATTGTATTTTGTATTTTAATAATAATAGTAATATTAAATTTTAAAATAACTAATTTACACACTAATTATTTTTTTAAAATTATTTAACTGTACTAAAAACGTCATTAATAATTATTTTACTATTTATATAATTGAAACAATTAACATTTGCATATTCAAATAATGTAAACTCAAATAAAAAAAATGTGCAAAAAGGAACTTGTTGCTCAAGAAATATATTAACAAACCTATAAACGCGTTGACGATCCAAATACGTATCATGTTCATCTGGCTAAATTGCAACACCACAAACGATACGGCTATAATAATCAAATGATACGTCAACATTACTTCCGGACTAAACCATCTTGATATAAATGATGAGGCAATAGGTCCCAGCGCGTAGCACCCAGTCATCAGGGCCATAATATTGGCCGCCTTATGGGCTGATATGTGCACCAATGGATCATATTGGTAAAATGTGGACCCATTATTCTGGTAAGTTTGTTCGACGCCCGAGTAGCAATTAAGTGACATTGCAGCTAATATGATCATGATCATACGTGTCCTAGGTGTAAATGTTGTTTCCCCACATTTATCTGGTTCAGTATTGGTAACCATTTTTGGCATTTTATATCGCTTGACCACATACATGATCAGTAATAGTACCGGTGCTAAAACAATGTCAATATAAAAGTACCGTGATTAATTAATTAAGTTAATATCATAGTAATTTATTTATATTAATTATTGTTATTTATTTTATTACTTATCTATTTGTTAATTTAGTTAGCAATTAAGATATTATATGTATGATTATCTAGTAATTAATATATCTAATAATCTAATTATTATTTTATATACTAGCAACGATACTAATCTAGTTAACCATGCCTACTTACTAATTAAACCCACTGCGCCTACAATCATATAGGGTATCTTAAGTCGCGGGCGTCTGTCCACCGAGTAATTAATATCTGACTCATGTGTAATATTGTCCATCCAGTAGTGCAGGGGCTTTGGACTAGTTTGATGATGGTGATGATCGTCGTGATCATGGTGGCCGTGCCGGTACATATCACCCAACAAAAATTCCCGGGACAGTAGCGGTGATAGGGCACACCCGGCCGCGTAAGCCATCTGGGTTAGTTGCAATACTGATGGGCTCCGGGAGCCCCACATCTCGATACTCCACACTTGGTTACCGCAGTCCCAAACACCGCCGCCCACTGA